TCTCTTCTCTCTCTCTCTCTCTCTCTCTCTCTCTCTCTCTCTCTCTCTCTGTCTCTCTTCTCTCTCTCTCTCTCTCTCTCTCTCTCTCTCTCTCTCTGTAACTCTTTCTCTCTCTCTCTTTCTCTGTCTCTCTTTATTTCTTTTTCTCTCTTCCTTTCCGTTATTCTCTCTCCCAATCTCAAACTAACTCTCTTTAAGAATCTCATACTATTTTTCTCTCCCTACCGTTGTCTCTGTCATTCTTCTCTATACCTCCCTCTTACTTCTTTCATCTCTTTTTTTTTCTTTCTCACTCCAATATAAACAACAATTTACATTGGTATGTACATAAGTCACTCTCCCTTTTACTATCTCTCTACGTCCTATCTGCTAGCTTCACTATGATGCGACACTCCACCATGATGCGACACTCCACCATGATGCGACACTCCACCATGATGCCACACTCCACCATATCGTTCTTTCCTCAATATCCATCTACCACACCACTTAGAAGTTCATGTATTCAAATATCCCTATATTCAACAAACAATGAACATAGAACAATCGCATGGACGAAACATCGTAGATCGAAAATGTCAATAGATCTAAGGATGAGCTGATATAATATCATTTCATGACATTTCTTGAGTATTGTATTGTTTCAATATTTAGTTATTGTGACATGTGTAGAGACATCAAGAAGACATGAACAGTCACAATGAAGACATCCAATCAGGCAGTGGTTGTGACACATGTGTAGAGACATCGAGAAAACTGAACTGTCACCATGAAGACATTACCTCAGGTCGAAAGTGTCTTGTCCTAAGCAATTTTTTCGCCTGTACTTTAATCCTCGAATCTGGCTGGCATGGATTGCCATTGTTACTGTTGCCATAGATTGCCATTGTTACTGTTGCCATAGATTGCCATTGTTACTGTTGCCATAGATTGTCATTGTTACTGTTGCCATAGATGTCATTGTTACTGTTGACATATGTGTGATTGTTACTGTTGACATATGTGTCATTGTTACGGTTAAATGCGTTCCGACACGAAGGCCATTTTTTTTTAAATTTTACCTTTACATAACACCGAGTTGATATCTTGCTGTAAAAAAGCAATTCGGGTGGAATTTTGTACCGTACTTGTCAAGAGTGTGCCGTACACACACCACTGATGTGAAGTCTTGTACCACAGATGAGGTCAAGATTGTGCCGTACACACACCACTGATTTGAAGTCTTGTACCACAGATGAGATCAAGAGTGTGCCGTACACACACCACTAAAGTGAAGTCTTGTAACACAGATGAGGTCAAGAGTGTGCCGTACACATACCACTGATGTGAAGTCTTTTACCACAGATGAGGTCAAGATTTTGCCGTACAGACACCACTGATGTGGTACATTTTTTGATCAGCTAGTTTTTTGTAACTGTCAAGCCTTGCACACGTCTTCCTTCTGTGAGAAGTTTTCTGTAGCGCCACTTAGTAACTTGATTCGTCCTAGCTTTTCGTCCCGACCGAAAGACTCCCTGGGCGGTGGGGAGAGGGGGTAACGCCACACCATTTCCGCTGGAGTGGAAGCAAACCCGCCAAAACCGTCGGGAGAGTCGGCTGCGAACGCTTTAAACCTCAGCGTTTTCGGTCGACCGGACGTCCTCCAGGCCAGGGGGGAGGTTTTCGGCATTCCGCCGCATGGTCTGGTTCGTGTGGAGATGTGCCGGGGGGGGGGCATTACGAGCTCGCGCTCAAGGGCCACCGACGCCATTTCACAGTGTGACGTATTTAGTAACTTGATTTGAAGCTGTGCTGTGCACACATAAATCTGATCTGAGGTAGGGCATGTTAACACACAATCGTGGTATTTTGAGTCCAGTTGCCACGGTTGTGTGTCCACGTTAGTCATGCTTGACAGTCGAACGTCCAGATATTCACGTCTGCGGTATGTCGATGTAACTCACTGCCAGGGTTATTAGTCACCTTGAAGTTGCCAGTTAAGGCTATTGCGCCATATGAGAGCCCATATGGAACTTGAGCTCGTAGGATTGCTGAAAACTTTTCCCGCATATATTACAAGAACACGGTCTCTCTTTGGCGTGAGTCCTTCTCACGTGACTGTCATGGGCGGCGTGGGAGGCAAAGGCTTTACCACAGTGCTTGCACTGAAACACAATCATCGACACATGTTACAATCATCGACACATGTTACAATCATCAACACATGTTACAATCATCAACACATGTTTAAGTGATTGAGTTGGATTCAAAGAAATGTTACTTTTAAAAAAAAAGATTTTTTTTTTTTAATTTCAAAATGCACCAAAATAAAATTAAAAAAAACAATATTCACATCTATTAACTCAGTTTACGTGCAAAGCTATTCACTCAACATGTCTCACTCACAATGTCTCATCGCGAAATTAAGTGTAAATAGATAATACGGTTGTATTACAATTGTTTTATTTGTGTAAAAATAGTTTGAACAATTGGCCAGTTTTATAGGGATCGTTTACCCGACCTCTGTATGCTCACAGGGCCTCAGACCTTTCCAGGCTCACAGAGACCTATCAGAGTTATAAGCCTACAGCTTTATATCATACGGCATTAGCTGTATTGTTAGAGCAAAACATGGAACATGTCATTCCTTACTTATATGTGTGATAATCATTTTAATATTGAAATCTCTTAGAAATCATTGCATCACTTTGAAAATGTGTGAATCAAAGATTCGAACAACTTTGACAGACTAAAAGTGCTGCTAGTCTGTCCCCCATTTCAGCTCCATAACTTTTGAGAATTATTGTCTGTATTCAAGATTTTACCCTCATTAAAAAAAAATGTCAATTTAAATTTTTTAAACGGCCGTATTCCCAGTCTCCACCTTATCATAATCCACAGTCTCCACCTTATCACAATCCACAGTCTCTACTTTATCCCAATCCACAGTCTCCACCTTATCACAATCCACAGTCTCCACCTTATCCAACTCCACCAACAAAATTCCAACTAATTTTTACGATTCATTTATAATTGCTTTCGTTTCAAAATGGAAGTCCTCTCCTCTACCTTGAAAGGTTTCTCTCCTGAATGTTGTCTGATGTGAGTCCTCAGGATGCTGGATGCAGTAAATGCTTTGTTGCAATAGACACACTTGTATGGCCGCTCTCCACTGTGGACCTGTGGCCAGATAGAAGCAGTCAAGTGTGAGTCAAAGAGCATGTTGCCAAATAAGCCGAACAATATTTACACACAAAAAGTTTTAACATTTTAAAATATGCACCATCTCGCGGTATAGTTTATACGTCTATATCACAATATTATCATGTTGTTGAAGTCAGTTGAACTTTATAGCCTGATTAGTAAATTATAAATGTTGGCGGGGTCAAGCTATTAGAATCGTCTTAAGTAAACAGCCAAGATGGCATCAACTGGTATGATTAAGATTAAAATTACAAAATTATAAAGTCATTTAATTAGTATTACGGTTCAGAGGAAATCAAAATCTTATGTTAATTTCATGTAGTAAGTCATATGATAATATAATATACGTAGCCTTGTGTTAATTTATAAGTGGTCTTAAGTTAATTTAATGTAAGAAGTCTTATGTTAATTTAATGTAAGAATTTAAAGTCTTATGTTAATTAAATGTACAAAGTCTTATGTTAATTTAATGTAAGAATTTAAAGTCTTATGTTAATTTAATGTAAGAAGTCTTATGTTAATTTAATGTAAGAATTTAAAGTCTTATGTTAATTAAATGTGCAAAGTCTTATGTTAATTTAATGTAAGAATTTAAAGTCTTATGTTAATTTAATGTAAGAATTTAAAGTCTTATGTTAATTTAATGTAAGAAGTCTTATGTTAATTTAATGTAAGAATTTAAAGTCTTATGTTAAATTAATGTAAGAAGTCTTTTGTTAATTTAATCTAAGTAAGTATCTATGTTAATTTATAAGTAGTATTATGTTAATTTAATGTAAGTAGTCTTATGTGAATGTATAAGTAGTCTTATGTCAATTTAATGTAAGAATATTTATGTTAATTTAATGTAAGAAGTCTTATGTTAATTTAATGTAAGAAGTCTTATGTTAATTTAATGTAAGTAGTCTTATGTTAATTTATAAGTAGTCGTATGTCAATTTATGTAAGAAATCTTATGTTAATTTAATGTAAATAGTCTAATGTTAAATTTATAAGTAGTCTTATGCTAATTCTTTGCAGGAAGTCTTATGTTAATTTAATGTTAGAAGTCTTATGTTAATTAAATGTAAGTAGTCTTATGTTAATTTATAAGTATTCTTATGCTAATTTAATGCAAGAAGTCTTATGTTAATTGAATGTAAGTGGTATTATGTTAATTAAATGTAAGTAGTCTTATGTTAATTTAATTTAAGTAGTCTTATGTTAATGTATAAGTAGTCTTATGTTAATTTAATGTAAGAAGTCTTATGTTAATTTAATGTAAGAATTTAAAGTCTTATGTTAATTTAATGTAAGAAGTCTTATGTTAATTTAATGTAAGAAGTCTTATGTTAATTTAATGTAAGAATATAAAGTCTTATTTTAATTTAATGTAAGAATTTAAAGTCTTATGTTAATTTAATGTAAGAAGTCTTATGTTAATTTAATGTAAGAATTTAAAGTCTTATGTTAATTTCATGTACATCGAATATCTATAGCAAATCTTATAATGTTGGAAGCTTCTCAATCTGTTCCATTCTCAATCTTGAAATTTTAAAGGCTGCGGTTCTCAAACAGTGGTTGGTGGATCCGCGGGTATTCAAAGTGAAAGAGCCCAGCTGTATTATTTATTTTTTAACTCTTAAACTCTTAAAACCTAGAAACTGTTGACTTATGTATTCGGTCAACTATTGACTCATTTATTTGTTCAACAGTTGACTCATGTATTTGGTCAACTGTTGACTCATGTATTTGGTCAACTGTTGACTCATGTATTTGGTCAACTGTTGACTCATGTATTTGGTCAACTGTTGACTCATGTATTTGTTCAACTGTTGACTCATGTATTTGGTCAAATGTTGACTCATGTATTTGGTCAACTATTGACTCATGTATTTGTTCAACTGTTGACTCATGTATTTGTTCAACTGTTGACTCATGTATTTGGTCAACTGTTGACTCATGTATTTGGTCAACTATTGACACATTTATTTGTTCAACTGTTGACTCGTGTATTTGGTCAACTGTTGACTCATGTATTTGGTCAACTATTGACTCATGTATTTGTTCAAATGTTGACTCATGTATTTGGTCAACTGTTGACTCATGTATTTGGTCAACTATTGACTCATGTATTTGGTCAACTATTTACTCATGTATTCGGTCAACTGTTGACTCATGTATTTGGTCAACTGTTTACTCATGTATTTGGTCAACTGTTGACTCATGTATTTGGTCAACTATTGACTCATTTATTTGTTCAACTGTTGACTCATGTATTTGGTCAACTGTTGACTCATGTATTTGGTCAACTATTGACTCTTGTATTTGTTCAACTGTTGACTCATGTATTTGGTCAACTGTTGACTCATGTATTTGGTCAACTATTGACTCATGTATTTGGTCAACTATTGACTCATGTATTCGGTCAACTGTTGACTCATGTATTTGGTCAACTGTTGACTCATGCATTTGTTCAACTATTGACTCATGTATTTGTTCAACTATTGACTCATGTATTTGGTCAACTGTTGACTCATGTATTTGGTCAACTATTGACTCATGTATTTGGTCAACTATTGACTCATGTATTTGGTCAACTATTGACTCATGTATTTGGTCAACTATTGACTCATGTATTTGATCAACTATTGACTCATGTATTCGGTCAACTATTGACTAATGTATTTGGTCAACTATTGACTCATGTATTCGGTCAACTATAGACTCATGTATTTGTTCAACTATTGACTCATGTATTTGGTCAACTATTGACTCATGTATTCGGTCAACTGTTGAGTCATGCATTCGGTCAACTGTTGACTCGTGTATTTGGTCAACTGTTGACTCATGTATTCGGTCAACTGTTGCTGTGCGTGTTGGGTCAACAAAGACATGATTTATTTTAAGACTCAAGAATGTTTTGTTTACCCTCATGTGTTTGTTCAGACTCGACGACTGACTGAAACTTTTGGCACACACTAAACATTTGTGGGGTCGGTGTTTCTCGTGGACGTGGAGTATGTGAATCCGGAGTCGATCTCTCTTTTCGAAGGACCTGTGACGTGAGAGGACATCTTATGACGTAACAATAAGCATGTAAGGACGTAACTATAAACACATCATGATGTCACTATAACTGTTACAGAGTCCCAGTTAAATGAATTGAATCAAATTTTCTTATGGCCAGAATGTATGCCAGATTGTGTTATGGTCAGAATGTATGTCAGGTTGTGTTATGGCCAGAATGTATGTCAGATTGTGTTATGGCCAGAATGTATGTGAGATTGTGTTATGGCCAGAATGTATGTCAGATTGTCTTATGGTCAGAAAGTATGTCAAATTGTCTGATGGTCAGAATGAATGTCAGATTTTCTGATGGTCAGAATGTAAGTCAGATTGTCTGATGGTCAGAATGTATGTCAGATTGTCTTTTGGTTGGTTTCCCTTATGACAGAGAAGCCTTTTGGTCAGAATGTAAGCTTGATTGTCGACTTATGGTCAGAATGTATGTCAGATTGTCTTATGGTAGGATTTCCTTATCTTTGTGAAGTCTTTTGGCAATAATGTATTATGCATGTATTTTACTTAAATAATTCTTGCTATCACACATTGGACTGTTTAAATGACATTTTGTCATTTCGAGAGTCGGATGTACTGAAGAGTCAAACTCCACAATTATGATTGTTATAATCGCAAGTATTTTCGCGTCTACCTATGTTGCCACATTGCAAGCAACAAAGGACTCCCTGCTATGGGCATCTCACAATAAATGACCAAAACACATTGAATCCCATTGGTATATAGTTGTGATCGCTTAACCTATTTCTTGGGACTCACCTGGAACACAAATGGCATGGGTACTTCCGGTCCCCCTGGTCCACGCACCTGGTGTACTTGAGGTGCTTGTCCCTGTAATATTTGTAGGCGAACACCTTGCCACACCTCTCGCAGCTGAACCCCTCACTAGCTGAACAGAGTGTCGGATGATGGGAGAGGTAGACATGTTTGTAAACAATTGATTGGATCGATTGAACGATGATCCTACGCGGCTAATCGACTATAAAGTGCTAGCCTCAACAGCAACATTTCCATAACTAACTATGTTAAGGCTTGGGAAACAACAACAAAAAATATTTGCAAAAAAACAATTATTTAAAAAATCAATTTTCAATCACCTCCCTTGGTATGCATATGATATTATTGCCCTTAAAATCAATTTAATGATGCTGACTTTCGATTTCTGCTATTTTAATGACGTCATTTTATAATAATATACGTGCTATTATTTACATATAACTTTAGCTTATTGGCTGGCTTTGCTCAGATTTCTATTCTGGAAAAAAAAACATCTTCCAAAGCGACATCAGCCAATCGTAAATGTAGGGCTCTGTCAAAAACACTTCGCTAAGGTGCCAATTGAAACTTTACATGCTCTCCTATAAAAAGTCAAATGTATAATAACTCTTGTAAACATTAAAGTTGGGGGGCCCCTCCCGTTGCAGTTGATATTCAAGTTCGGCACGCACCCCAAAGACCAAGATTTACAGACAAATCTAACTTCTGAAACATGGCTAAATAAAATGAGAAGGGCATTCATCAAAGCCAGAGCTGTGCCGTTTCGGTACCCCATTCCAAAGGGGGGGGGGGGCATTGTAGTTATACGTAAGGTAGGAGCACTAGAAACATCCTTCAGAGAAATATTCAAGTTAAATATTGACATTGATCCCATTAAAATTGGAGAGAGTCCTCCAAAGATGTTGCCTTCTAAAGGTTCACTATGGGGACACCGCAGCCAAAATTAACTTAACCTTTAACCTTCAATAGTTTGGATCAGTGAGTATTTTAGGTTGGATAACGGACAAACTTTATTTTGAAAATTTGTGCATTAAAATCGGCTGAAAAACACCAAAGAAATAATTAGCTTAATACACTGTAGGACCTCCGACAGTTATGTGGAACTTTCTAGAAAATTCAGAAATGTCTTTAAATCTGATTTCATAGCATTTGAGGACAATTATAGACAATCACACACTGTCACAGACATTCACAGACATTCACGGACAATCACAGACAATCATGGATAATCATAGAAATATAATAACAACATAATAAGGACATGTGTATAATCTTAAAACACACTACAGAAATCGAACGTTCTTGAATAGGGTGAAAACTTTTCAAAACGTTTCAAAATGGTACACTCACTGATATAGAGGAAATTCCCAGAAGAGTTTAGAAATCTATCAAACTAGACTTAACTTTCCATAAACTTTTACCCATTGATATTTTCATAATCTTTATTTCTGCTTGGAACACTATAGAACTTGATCGAATTTTTTTTTTTTTCTTTAGGATAACTTAGGAAATAGTGGAAATGCCGTCACACTGAGCGTTATATAGTAGATGGGCTTGGGCCAAACGTATAAAAGCTACGGAATGGGGGAAAAAGAACACAATGCCGCATGATGAAACGGCTTTGTTTCTGAAGAAAAACTAATTTAGAACCGTTTAAGAATATATATATATATATATATATATATATATGTATAAATGTTCTATTATTTTACTTTATTTAACGCCCATAACCTAATCTTAAAATTTGTCAATAATCATTATAAAAATTGTAATGAAAACGACTCACTGTCTGCCTCTTCCTGTGCACCCCCATCAGCCATCTCCTTCAAGGCCACGGGTACGCCCATGAACTGTAAGTAGCAGTCGCCGTACCAGACGAGAAGTTCTGTCCCCTGAGGGATGTCTTTGCAGGTTTCGTAGAAAATTTCCCCCTCGATCTGGACAGGTGGGGGAACAAGATTTGTAGGATTTGCCAAAACTTGAATTTTAGCTCATGGGACAGTACTATACGTGTTAGCTCATGGGACAGTACTATACGTGTTAGCTCATGGGACAGTACTATATACATGTTAGCTCGTAAGACAGTACTATACGTGTTAGCTCATTAGAAACAACATATTCCCTTTCACTATGGTTTATTTTTATCGTAGTGAGAATCTCTGATACCTATTTTGCTTCAGGATCTTCCCATGCTGCCTCTTCAAAACCGCCCCCCTCCCCTAAAACTCCACATGTTTTATATTAATAGTAATGGGGGGGGGGGGGTTGCGTGGGGTCGCCCGTCATGCGGGACGTCTAACCGGGGGTAAAAAATTCCGTTGGATTTTGAAGAAAGTGAGAAGAAAACTATGTTTTCCTTGGACCCTTTATCGTAGTGAGAATCTCTGATACCTATTTTGCTTCAGGATCTTCCCATGCTGCCTCTTCAAAACCGCCCCCCTCCCCTAAAACTCCACATGTTTTATATTAATAGTAATGGGGGGGGGGGTTGCGTGAGGTCGACCGTCATGCGTGACGTCTAAACGCGGGTAAAAGATTCCGTTGGATTTTGAAGAAAGTGAGAAGTAAACTATGTTTTCCTTGGACCCACAGGACATTTTCCTAGGACCCACAGGACATTTTCCTAGGACCCACAGGACATTTTCTCAAAATACCCCCGAAACCCGGTGTAAAAAAAAAATTGCACCTGGTTAAGCCATAGTTATAAACACTGAGACATTTGGATTAATAAAGTTAGTAATATAAAATAGAAGGAAAAATGTTTGCCTTTGACCTCTGAACTTGCTGGCATCGCCTTTTTTGTGTGTTTGTGTGTGTGCTAACTGTGCTATAAAACAAATTGTTAGCTCAATTACCTGTACGGCTATCAGGTTCTGTTCTTGTGCGTATCTGGCACAGTTGACATAGGACATCCAGCTGCCAGATTGAACTCTCCCATCAATAAAGTGACTCAATTTGCCATCTTGAAAAATCTGGACATTCGTAAAGATTGATTAACTGCCAGATTATATCCAAGACATAAACATTTATAAAATCAGAGCTAGAGGGGACCATTTCCGCTTTTGAATTTATATACCGGTTTGGCCAAAATTTAGAAAAAATTAGTTCACGCAATCACATTCTATTTGTCAATCTATATCTTTCTTTAAGCCATGCTGTAATAAAGTTCAACCTCTCTTAGAATCGCACCATAATGTCCAATAAAGTTATTAGTTTTGTCCATGTCACATTAATTTATCCTTATCCATTAAATAACTATTTTTAGCAACCCTCTCGATACAATCGTTTGTATTGTCGTTCTTGATCTCCTTACCTCCCACATGCATGTGTTATCATCTCGTGTTTTCGTCTCGCTCGTGTGAACGACCTTGCCCTTGAAAGGTCCATACCGTGTCCCTCTAGAGATGACAGTTTTGGTGCAGAAGACGCCCGTGTGGACTGTTCCAGCGAAGTTGGTTTGGAAGATGGATAAACCTAGACCGACAATCAAATGCGACAAAATAAAATAAGATAATGTCTAAAATATTGTCAGCAGTCAGTTACACTTCAGCATCCCTGATACTAATAAATCGGGAATACTCAAGATGACATGGCCATAACTTCAAATTTCTTACCAGGGCGGGTTAAGCAGAAGCTGCTCTCTTCTCAAAAAATTATATACAACACACATAAATACACATATACGTCATCAAAATTGACTATTTATACGCCCTTTTGATAGCGCCCGGCACCTAGGGCAGTTGCCCTTTTGATAGCGCCCGGCACCTAGGGCAGTTGCCCTTTTGATAGCGCCCGGCACCTAGGGCAGTTGCCCTCTTCGTCCTCTCCTTCGCTAGACACTGTTTCCTGAGGTAAGTACTCCAACCCAGGGTGTTAACCCCCTACCACCTTCTCCCCCCAAATGGTATTTAATTTGTGGCGTCCGTTGTGTGGCCATACTTAGCGCTGCTAGTAGATGCAAAGTATACTTATGAGGGACTGTTAATTATGACAATCGTCTGTAAAGCGAGTGCTGATTGGGACAGACATTTGTAATCTGTCCATTTCATCATACTATATATGTTAGCTATTTCCCATAATGTAAAAGCTAAAAAATGTCTGTTTTCAGTAATGCCCAACAGTTTAATTCCTCGCTCACCTTCTGGTAGATCAAGACTGGACACATCCAGGGGCGGCATATTGTGGGCTAGTGGCCCCTCACCGCTGGTGGAGGCTTTACTGCCAACAACCGGGCCACAGCCTCCTCGATGGGCTGCATGACTGGAACCGCTGCTGCTGATCATCTGTGGAGACAGCACGTGGCTGGCTGCCTTCATGCTGTTGTGTTGGTGGACGTCGCTACTGTTGCTGCTGCTGCTGTTGTGAGCACTGTTGATGCTGGTGTTGTGTTGACTTTCTGGCGATGAGCGATTATCACACAAGATTTTCTCAATACCTGACGGGGAAATATACAGAATCTTATCATAATAACAATTCATAACAAAGCTCATAGAGTTCTAGCCGTTTGGTGCTGACCACTGGTTTCACATTAATGTTTTTAACAAACTAGTTTAGCAAGACTCTCCTAATAACATTTGCACACTGTTATCACATCTTTTCAATCGAACAAATATATTTTCGGACAACAAAAATATCGAGCTTCAAATGATATATTTGACATTGTTTCCATTTCTAATGAACATAAGTTTTGAAATATGGTTTGTATTATCAACGCTTTTTTAGATTATTGTTGCCTTGGACGGAGATATTCAAGTATCGACGCATTGTGTCTTATGTCCATAGACGGAGATATTCAAGTATCGATCAGCGAGTCGCGCCATCATGCATGACGTAGGTTAGATCGGTGGATCTAGAGGAACGGTAACAATGATCATTGTATCACTTTAAACACGGCTGGCTGTTGTAGCATATGCCACAATGATCATTGTATGGCCGGTTAATGCGATAGTCCAAACTAGCGCGGACTTAGCCACCCCCTCCCTGCCCCCCCCCACACACACACCGCTACCCCCCTCCGTGTCCCCCACGCACCGCCACCCTTGATCCCTCCCCTGCGAACGCTGCAGAGCTCTGGGCCGAGTGTTTGTTTAGCCCAGGCCCCAGGGAGCGTGCAGTCCGGCCCAGGCCGTGAGATGGAATCAGTGATTAGAATCGCTCAGACCTGTGATTAATTCTGGCATTGTACAAGAGCGGTGTCCGAATGGGTTTGTCGCCAAAATAAATCATCCCGGAGAAGAAACATGACGGGACTTTGTGTCGATCATTGGTAGCATATGGAGGACTTTCCATGACTTGAAGAGTTCCACAAACGGGAGACAAGATGGTGTTTCCTACTGCAGTGATTACAAATAGTCGCAGTATTGGGACATCTTTATGCAGAATTTTTGCTCTCTTCGTATATTTCCCTCTTTTTTTGTGCGGTTTGCTGTTGACTCCAGTTTAATCTGAAAATGTTGAGGTTGTATTAAATTGAATGCAGGTGTCCGAGGAGGGAATAATTTGGAGTTGGTGTCTGAGGAGGGAATAATTTGGAGAGGGTGACTGGGGAGGGAATAATTTGGAGTGGGTGACTAAGGAGGAAATACTTTCGTGTATACGTGTTAACCAACAAATGGAAGACGTGTTAACCAACAAATGGAAGGAGTTTGTTTGTAGCATCAAATTTGTTATACCATGTAACTCTCTAGTTACTCTTGGGGACGTCTGCCGCGTGCTGACCTGTAAATGCGCAATGAAGGTGTGAATCTGCACATGCGCAATGAAGTGGCTGACGTCTACATGCGCAATGAAGTTATTTTTAAATAAAAAAATGTTTGTAGTCAGACTCCCGAGAGTTGCACCTTTCATTATGGAGCGTCAATCAATTTTGTTTAAAACTCTGTTTCTAAGTGCGGTTGACAGATATGCATAAATAAATCTGTTTCTAAGAGCGGTTGATAGATATGCATAAATAAATCTGTTTCTAAGAGCGGTTGATAGATATGCATAAATAAATCTGTTTCTGAGTGCGGTTGATAGATATGCATAAATAAATCTGTTTCTGAGTGCGGTTGATAGATATGCATAAATAAATCTGTTTCTAAGTGCGGTTGATAGATATGCATAAATAAATCTGTTTCTGAGTGCAGTTGATAGATATGCATAAATAAATCTGTTTCTGAGTGCTGTTGATAGATATGCATAAATAAATCTGTTTCTAAGAGCGGTTGATAGATATGCATAAATAAATCTGTTTCTAAGTGCGGTTGATAGATATGCATAAATAAATCTGTTTCTAAGTGCGGTTGATAGATATGCATAAATAAATCTGTTTCTAAGAGCGGTTGATAGATATGCATAAATAAATCTGTTTCTAAGAGCGGTTGATAGATATGCATAAAGAAATCTGTTTCTAAGAGCGGTTGACAGATATGCATAAATAAATCTGTTTGTAAGAGCGGTTGACAGATATGCATAAATAAATCTGTTTCTAAGAGCCGTTGATAGATATGCATAAATAAATCTGTTTCTAAGTGCAGTTGATAGATATGCATAAATAAATCTGTTTCTAAGTGCAGTTGATAGATATGCATAAATAAATCTGTTTCTAAGTGCAGTTGATAGATATGGATAAATAAATATGTTTCTAAGTGCAGTTGATAGATATGCATAAATAAATATGTTTCTAGTGCAGTTGATAGATATGCATAAATAAATCTGTTTCTAAGTGCAGTTGATAGATATGCATAAATAAATATGTTTCTAAGTACAGTTGATAGATATGCATAAATAAATCTGTTTCTAAGTGCAGTTGATAGATATGGATAAATAAATCTTTTTCTAAGTGCAGTTGATAGATATGCATAAATAAATCTGTTTCTAAGTGCAGTTGATAGATATGCATAAATAAATCTGTTTCTAAGTGCAGTTGACAGATATGCATACATAAATCTGTTTCTAAGCGCGGTGCAAATATATGTATAAAGAAATCTTTTTTTTTTTTTTTACGCAATAAATAGATGTTATTTTTTAAATATGCATCCTGTAGAATAGAAGAAGTGGTCAATAATCATTTGAAAATATCTTCACTAACCACAAATAAATGTATGTGGCGAAGCTGCGGGCAAATGTAAAAGTGTTTTATAATGTTTATATGATTAAAAAATGATTAAATAGATTAAGTTTTCATTTAATTTTATTTGATAGTTGTGTTTCATCCTAATTTATATATACAGTGATGAATGTTACTTTGCATTCGCCACAACTGGGGCTATTTTGAAAAAACGGTGCCCACCTTGGTCTAGGAATGAGTATTAAATAATGACACATTTCCGAGGTTCAGGCATCAAAGTAAATCAAGACACAACACAATGTTCTCATGTAATGACCAAAGCTATCTTACACATAACACACAACACAATGTTCTCATGTAATGACCAAATCTATCTTACACATAACACACAACACAATGTTCTCATGTGATGACCAAATCTATTTTACAAATAACACACAACATAATGTTCTCATGTGATGACCAAATCTATCTTACAAATAACACACAACACAATGTTCTCATGTAATGAGCAAAGCTATCTTACACATAACACACAACACAATGTTCTCATCATGTAATGACCAAATCTATCTTACACATAACACACAACACATTGTTCTCATCATGTAATGACCCAATCTATCTTACACATAACACACAACACAATGTTCTCATCATGTAATGACCAAACCTATATTACACGTAACACACAACACAATGTTCTCATCATGTAATGACCAAATATATCTTACACATAACACACAACACAATGTTCTCATCATGTAATGACCAAATCTATCTTACACATAACACACAACACAATGTTCTCATCATGTAATGACCAAATCTATCTTACACATAACACACAACACAATGTTCTCATCATGTAATGACCAAATCTATCTTACACATAACACACAACACAATGTTCTCATCATGTAATGACCAAATCTATCTTACACATAACACACAACACAATGTTCTCAAGTAACGAGCAAAGTTATCTTACGCACCGTGTGCAGGAAAGACGTTCATTTGTGTGAACCAACAGAAACTTCCATTAAACGTTCATGAACGACCTGGCGCAGCGCAAAATTTGACTTTTTTTTGGTTTAAATGTATGCCTCATACTCATACCCATGTACACCGATGTCCAGATACAGGAACTTTCCATTGCCCGAAATGCGATCTTTGCATCCTACACAATCCCAGCAACCCAACTATCAAAACATCTCAGAAATACGTAAGAATTTAAGGATTCCGTAAATTTACGTAAGAACTTACGGGTGTAAGTAAATTTGTGTAAGAACTTACGGGTGTAAGTAAATTTGTGTAAGAACTTACGGGTGTAAGTAAATTTGTGTAAGAACTTAAGGGTGTAAGTAAATTTGTGTAAGAACTTAAGGGTGTAAGTAAATTTGTGTAAGAACTTAAGGGTGTAA